TGGAGGACAACTTTTTTCCGCATGCCAGGCAGCAATTGGCGGGAAAAAATACGGTCGTCCACCGGCTGCGTGTTTCCGCGACTGTGAACTTTCAGTCTCCTACGCAAGCATCCGCGGATAATGCGCGCCGCTCGCACGGCGTATCTACCTCGTCATTCGCTGAAACAACCGTCGAGCGAGCGCTCTGAAAGAGTAATCGAGGCGAATGCGCGGGTATCAAGCGAAATGTTACGTTGCCCGCAAATTGTGCTGTCGGCAAACGCTATGATTTTCCTTGCGCGTCATTGAACCCCAAACGGGGCGGGAAAACAAAGAAAGAGGCGTACGGCGGGCTTTCACGAAACGCAATTTGTTTTGTCATCACTCGCTGTTATATTTTATCAAACGTACATTTGTTGCGTTGTGCAACGACGAAATTCGTAGGACACGTTGATCGTTCGCGGGTCTGAACAATAAGTCTGAGCGCGCGTCACTCTCGTGAGAAATTACCTTCTCAGAAAAATCTTGCTTCCCTATACAATTTAAGTTCAGAGATTATGGCACCCTTCCCCAAAATCGCTGGGCTATCGCGTGACATCGGAGATCTTTTAACGAGCTCTTCGTTTCCCTAGCGCGAAAAATCCGCACGAAATCGATCCTCTCTCTCCCTTCCCTTTCTCTCTTTCTCTCCGTCATCGCAGTCGATATCGCCGCCATTACATCACGTTCGTTAAAAGAGACGGACCTGCATAATTAAGAGGACTCCCGCTCCACCGTGTGCGTCCCCGCACACAGAGAAGCGCGCTATTCGCTCCTATCATTATAATCGGCCGCGAAGCAAACGTTTCAGCCGGTAAATATTTAAGTCGGCCGGTAAGGGGCTGGTAATGAGAGTCGAGATGGATCGATAGGCACAGTACGTAGGACGAGGTGTATACGCACGTTCGTATGGGTCGCTGACACTCTCGATAAATATTGTCCGGCAGCCCGCGAATCGCGTACCTTCTCGTTTCTTCGTCCGTGCGTCCGCGCGTGAGAGATGACGGCGATACCACCCTCGCGTCCCGGAGAAATTAAAAAGTCTAGGGCAAACATCGTGCTGTCACACTTTTCTCCTTTTCTCCCGCTGACCCCCGCGAGCCGCTCTCTTTCTCCCTCCTTGCAAAACATGCCTCGTTACGTTGGTCTTGAAAGGCAAATAAACGCGGCAAATGTGATTTAATCGCCGTTTCGATCCGAATATTAGTCTCTTCCCTCCGCCCGTTCTCTCTTCTCCTCGAGCTAATTAACTAAATATTAGCTCGCAATTACGATTGTCTTTATACGTTTCAAGCGCGGAAGGCTTCGTATTATTTCTAACGTTTTCCCCGTCGAGTGCCGTTAACTTTAATTCCGCAGAGTGTTTCACCGCCGTGCCTCCAAGGCCGGGGCTATGAAAGCCCTGAATCAACTTGTAATAAATTTCTCAATAAAGCATGGTGCATGGAAGTGACGTTCGCGCTCTCTCACTTCCGTGATATAATACACATCGCCTAAAAGTACAGTCGTATTTTTTGTGCGATACTTTAACCTGTTCGCTATATAATTAACACGAGGAAATACATTTTGTCGTGAAATAAAATACGGTAGTAATATGTTCGGTAGCGTCAAGAATGTTGCACACATGCCATCAAACATGGCGTAAAATAGTCGCGGAAGACATGTATGCGGAATAACAATCGGTCGTATTTGCTTGTTCGGGGCTATAATTAAATACGCGATATTTGCAAGTTTGCATGTGCAATTTTTTATTACCATCTCATTAGTTGTATGCGTAACGAGTTCGGTAATAAATATGCGCGGGTATATATCAGTGCGATGCATTCAACAGACATTGCGTGTTGTAAAATTACCAAACAAAGTTGCAGGTAAATTACGTTATCAACGTGTAATTTTCACTGTATCGATTTTAGCGACGCATCATTCGCGCGAAGTATCTGGTCTGCGTTGCTTCAATTATTTTATTTTAAAACGCCTGTATTTTGCGACACAGCCTATGCCCTCAGTTTTTACGAAATTTTTTTGAGCATTTCGCGAGCGTCAGTTTTCAAAGCGCAGAAGATAAATATTGAGAGACGTATATAATTCACGATATGAATTGAGGGTACCTCATATCACGCTTCAATTATTATGATATCGCTTCTCCTAAGTGATGTTGGTTTAACTAGATTATTCACAATTTGTTGCTTCACAATTATCTTATTCATTGTTGATACAAGCGTATAGGAAAACATATTGCAAAATATACGAAGCGAAATCGATTGTTTGCTCTAAGCCTATAAATTGTCTTGAGATATTAACGGCATACGATAGCGCGTTTCTCTGCGTCGAGCAATACGATATAAAAATTGAATCGTAGGTGGTACAATTACGATAATTGTATTTTCCTTCATGTAGTCGTGAAGGATGGTAAGAAACCGACGTGCCTGCTCCGACAAAGCGGCACTGTCATCCACTATCGCCTATCGCTATTGTACGCGTCCGTGTTACGCGGGGCAATAATTCCAACAATAATATATCGAGATGAAACGTCAATAAATTTAGATAAGTTTAAAGGAAAGAACGTCCGTTTGCAATCAATGAGATGAGTTAGAAGAGAAGAAAATTTTATTTATTCCGTGCGCGCACGTGAGATACGAGAAATCAATTTTGAGAAATTCTTTTGAGAATCGAGCAATTTGGAATATGATTTATGAACACTTACAGCGTCTATATTTCGACATGGTATTGCAATTAACATCGTTTGGACGTAGAAATCGAAACGTTTTCGTCACCGATCCTATCTTCCGTTGCAAGCATTAAACACTTCGCGATTACTCGCCGCGCTTCGCGCGATGACATAAAGTCCATACTTTTTCCGCGAAAAGAGCCGCTAGTTCTTTTTTTTCCTCCAGGACACTCGTGAATTTTCTCTTCTACTGTTTGTGCACGTTTGTTTGAAAGAGAGAGAGAGAGAGGGGAAGAAGGGGGGGAAGGGTGATACCGCTTGCGCAACGTCCGCTCGCGGAATTAATTTCTTTCCGATAGAATCTTAACGACGGCGCCTTCCGTCGTGCTACAACATTCGGAGGCGTCCGTCCGCTTTTATCGTCGCTTTACAATCATAAAACTGTTTACTCGGAATTTTGAGTAAAGGGGGAGGGGATTGTCGTCTCCGCGGGTACAGGTGTTTGCTCGGTACTATCACCGCCGGTCGATCGTCGTTAGACGAGCGACGATGGACTTTTAGAAGGCCGTGACAGGAGTTTACAAGTACGGTTACTCTCTCTTTTTTTTTTCTTTCTTTATTATTATTGCTATCTACCACGAGGCCGCGATCTGCGTGCGGGACGATCGTACTTGAGCGTCAAGATTCGCGAGAGCGATTAACGCAGAAGTTGTTGATTTTTTTTCTTCCGTGTAACGATATCGCGAGAGCAATTGCAAGATGCGTGCGAGATTATGCTGACGCTAATAAATGATGCCGCTCGTGACACTTTCTGCCTTCGATGAAACCGCGTTTGCCGGGGAATTACGATGAAATATAGTTCCATGAGTGATTCGTTATTACTATAATACTTATACTATAACATTTTGTTGCCGAAAATTCGCATGGAGAAAAGAGTGTATGTAGTCTCTGTGCTTGATTTATAAAAATTTAAAACTTTTTGCGCGTATACAGGGAGTTGGAAAAAAATATTTGGTTATCTGGTCGAAAAATTAAACCTTATCAAAGATAGAAGCGATTTTCGATCTGTTAGCACAGGTGATTTGCTTGCATTTCTGCATGAAATCATATGTTTCTTTTTGCATAAACCGATTTATTTATACCAGAATATTATCGGAATAAAGTATCTGTGATATAAAAGAATCTCGTAAAATATCCACTTGTTGATAATCTTGTGTCTTAATATTTTCATTTGCAAAAGAAACTGGAGAAATCAATTTGCAGAAACAAAGTTGTGTAGATTAATTTCTCGACTTATATTAATTTGACATTTTGTCACTTCTAATGAGCACTATATATTTCAGTAATTTTGTAATTTCTTAAAATATATAGCGTGTATCAAGTAATCGATTACCCTTCTTTCATTTTCACTTATGACGCCCCGCGATTATCGATGTCTCCTTTAATTTCCCTACTAATTTTTCTCGAAGACAGGCGTCGAGCGTATCGATTATTTGTCAACCGTCATCATATCAATGTCGCGGACATGACGACACGCTTCGATTGCTTATTTTACATGTAAAATAATTGCTCTTAATTGCACTTTGGACCCGAACGAGCCAAGCTAAGATATGACGACCGGTTGTCTTTGGAAGGACCGTGCAAAGGCTTTAGTCATCGCTGTCAGACGCGCAAGTGCTCTATCGCCGGCTGACGCCACGATTTATTGGTTGATTCAGTTGCGTTTGATTAACCTTGGTTCATTATTCCAGATCGCTCGTCGGTTCTCTTCCTCGCGCGATAATTGAATTTGCAACGCGTGCATTTGTAATTCATCGCCTCGCATCCGACGACGTGGCTAATCGTCGTCGATCAAAATTTATCGTGCCTACCATATTCACGAGTTTATTAGCGCTAATATTTAATTGATGGATTTCAAATTAGAAATGCAATATTTCTCATGATTTTTTAATTGCAGATGGCAATTACGTTGCAGAATTTAGGCAAACTTTTGACATATTTCTATATTAACAATAATAAGCATGAAGTGTAAATAAAAAACTTTCTTGACGTATTAATTTAATAAATTAATTAATAAAATTTTACTTGTTGAAATGATATTTCGAAGAGTACCAAATTTTTTTTTTTTTTTTTTGGTACTTAAAATCTGTATAGAAAAACAGCTACCGTACAGATACTGTAAATCTTTATAGAAATACGCCCTTCAATTATGCCACATTACGCTAGAGTATCTTTTGAAAATTATATCGCAAAACCTAATGAAACTGCAACACGTCGTACTGACCCAGGCACCGTCCTCAATTCTATTTTGCAGGTGAGAAACCGCACAAGTGCGTCGTGTGTGGCAAGGCGTTCTCCCAGAGTAGCAACCTGATCACGCACATGCGTAAGCACACCGGCTACAAGCCGTTTCAATGCGGTCTCTGCGACAAGGCATTCCAGAGGAAGGTCGATCTACGCAGGCACCGGGAAGGTCAACATCCGGCGGCGCCGGCGCTCGATTATCGTTCTCTGCAGATACCGCCACAGCAACAGCAGCCAAACGGCAACCGGCACTCGCCGATACCGCCGCACTCGGCATCCTCCGCGGGTTACCACGTGATATCCGTGCCCGGCAGTAGCTGAGACTCGTTCATCTGACAGACGCTTCGTCCGTGAACGCGCACCAGGCACCCTCGAACCGGAATACGGAGCGGTACGTATCGTTGAATCGCGATACTGTGTGACCGGTTGGGGGAGGGCAATACTGCGAGTACTGCGAGATCGGCTGCTGGAAGCGAGATTTCGCAGATACTTTAACTCCAACGGAGTTGGTTGGACGGAGTAACGCGTCACGCGCGCGTAGAAATAGATAGACATATATGCGTGTGTAACTGCATCAGCGTGGATACATTCTTGAGATAGCGACGCCCGCAGGAATTCGGTATCTTTTACATGAGCTAGTTTAGGTACTGTGCGAGGTTGAATACAATAAGATAAGAAATCGATTTCGAATCGCGAAAAAATAACTTCTTGAATCAGAGTAGAAAAAAGATCTCAGTGTTATACGTTCTATATGTAAACGAAGATAATTTTCATCAAAATTATACATAAGATCTGGGATAAAATCTAGGATATATGTCCACAGATTATATAACGTTTTTATCTTCAACTTTTGTGACTAGCTAGTTGTGCCTGTTTAGGTATATTGGTATCACAATACGTCAACGCAGATTATCGAAAACGGCTTTTATATCTCCATCACCATACTTCAACGTTGCATTCTTAATTAATTTTACAGATAAATGATTGACGTGTAGCGTTGCACACGGCAGTTTGTGGTCTATCAAATAGAATCGCGAGATGTAGCGCTACGCGTCATATCGGTGATTATGCCTACTCTCTCTTCTATGGCGTGATATACATGTATACATGTTAATATACTGACTTCTTGGAGTAACACGTGATACATCTCGATGTCAAAACAACATCTATGTATACCGTATATCCGTGTCAGTTGAAACGCGAATATAAATTACATTAGACGCGATGTTACTTTTGCATCGAGTCACTCCTTTCGTTTTGTCGGCCTGATTTAACTGCAAGTTACACTCCAATGGCCGTAGCTCTAGTGATGTATTGATGGTGTCGACATTTTGGAATGTTTCGGAATATCCGGGATATCCGCGAAAGTGTAACGCGAGTCATCGAAGTAGGATACGTATATACATCTTGAACGGAACGAAAGAAACAGGCGTGTCACGAAAGTGACATAGGTCCGGCCTTATCTCAAATAATGATAAATACACACAGCCGCGATTGCACGCGTGATTGCACGATACAGATTCGAGGCGCTGTAATTCAAGGATCGTCTGCTGGCGCCGAAGCTCGCTGTCTCCTCGCGAGTCGATCTCGCTTACGCTCAAGTGAGAAACGGAATTGTAAATATTTTCCGTTGAAATCACCACACCGCGATATCTCTTCTTCGGAGCTGTAATTATGGAGCGTGAAGCACGTAATCGAACACGAAGTATTTACATAAATCAGTCGGACGACCGTGTGTTTAATTAAAATCTATCCAAGTGCCTTGGTATTTCTGTACCACCCAATTCTGACGTGGTTAGAATTATTATTATATAAGCTTCGATGCGTATTATTTCTCTCGACGTCTTCTTCAGTTTATTTCTTTCTCTTTTTTTTGTTTTGATAGATCGCGTTGTCCGATCGAAAATAATTATAAGCATAGCAGATGAATGAATCTAAAAAGGATTCAAAGAATTCACGTAAATAATTTTTTCTACGACGTTTAATTTAATTATCTTAATTGTAAGATGCTGCACTGATAATCAAGAAAATTCAAGTTTTCAACTTTTAATTTTCCAAATGTTTCCCAAAAGGTTCGCTTTCATTAATATTACTCAAGTTGGAGTATATTGTAATGTCGCAATATAATCATTAAATCTTGAATATCTGTCGTTAGAAATGATTATTATATTGACATCTGCAAAATTTAACGACCAATAAGAATATTGTACATATATACATGTACATATGTATCATATTTCTTGACGCACGTATGCAGACTATCGCATGTATTCGTAAATTTTTGCTATTACAATTATCATTTTCGATATTTTGATGCTTACGATAAGCGAGTGAAAACTTCGAAATCGGAATAAAAAAAGTATTTTTATTTTAATTGAGCTACTAATTACCCTCGCAATAAATGTACGTATAATTCGATTTGATCGAACTGAGGTTGCTAGTAAAACAAAGTGCCTGAACGTGCCTTTCTTCGGTGTCGTCGTATATCCGATTTATATTTATGGAATATCATTGCACTCCTATTATTAAAATACGTCTCCACCTTTAAATACATGAATATAATATATGTGTGTTTAGTGTACACTTAAGCTTCATAATGCCTCGATGCAGATATCAAAATTATTTTTAACACATTCCTTTAATTATATATTATTAATTTTAATATAACCATTTAATGTAATTTTATTTCCTGTGAATTTCTCAAGAGCATCAATTGATTATTAAATTACAGACTGCGCATAATCGATAAAGTCTAATCTAATTGATAAAAAATTGTCTATTGATTGGAAAGATTGAGAAACTATTTTCTTGTCAATTGTATTTCAATTTTACAATTTGACATATCTAATAAGTCTAAATGTGACAAGAAAAATAAAAATATACACCAAAATATCGAGAACTCCGAGCTGAATGCGAATACTATTTTTTACCATGTATCATAAGCTGCGTTCACTTTGGGCGCTCACGCGCTGTAAGCTTCATTCTATCTTCCGCATGTAATGATAAAAGATAAAATGAGCGCTTACAGCGCGTGAGTGTCCAAAGCAAACGCGGTTATAGTCTATCGAAGCCAAAGTCATTTGTTTTTAAAAATGATACTGTATCGAAACATCATCGACAGATTAATTTTGATCATTTCATGATCAATATTTTTAAATTCTTCTTTGTTATTTGCGATTTTTTTTATTTTTATGTTTTATCCTCGCGCTCTTTAGTATATCTTTGTAATTATCGGTACAATGTTATCAACGAACGTATTTCATACGTCATTAATTAAGATACACTTCCCGCGGGAAGTCATTGCTGTGAAAGAAAGGCGTGAATGAAAGTGATTATTTTTGTATACGCAAAGGAAAGCGAAATGTGTAGCTTAAGTGATAAGCACGCTGTACTTTACCCTGCACAGAAAAAAAAAGAAAAAAAAATCAGTGTTACAATATACACGATCGCAGGCTCGCGAATGAACCTTTTGAAATATATGGCTTTTAAGCACGCGCGAAAGCTCTATATGAATATATTATAGGATTTCTCCTATCGTAGAGAATTTCCGATTCTTCAAGATCTCCAAAAGATCATCCGTCCCCGCGTGAATGTGAGCGAAAGAGATCGCGAGAAGCGACGACGCAAACGAAATTCGCATATCCGGCAACGAATCATAGCGGCTAGAGGACCAAAGATAGCATAAGTCGGACCTGATCGATTGGTAGCGCAATCGGGTTTTTTTCTCTCTTTTCTCCAGAATTCAAACGACACACAACACAAACGAAACGAGTTATCGCACGAGGACGACGAGATAACTCGCGAAAACTCGAGGCTTACCAGAGATCCCGGTCCTTCGTACGTACGTACAGATTGTAACATACCATTAGGTTTAGCTAATTGATTAATTATGTGCGACGGTTAAGACACTAGCTTAGACTAATTGTTCGACAAACGACGTTTCGTTAATTCGCTAGCGACGAAAGTCCCGCGACGAAGATTACGACGAATCAGTTCGCGCAGAGGCACACGTCCTTCCGGTTTAATTGATTAATTAAAACGGATAAATTAATTAGCGAATACCATAGCGCCACACGTCTGACACGAGGCTCGTGCGTTAAGCAATTTTGTGCTATATATATTATGATTATATAAACTTATGCGTAGAAAAAGATTGCGATCGATAAATCAGTAAGTAGGTACCTTTCAAGATATTTGTGTATGTGTCTATCGAATGTGAAAAAAAACGCGTATGAGAGAGAGAGAGAGAGAGAGAGAGAGAGAGAGAGAGAAGTAGTGATAAGAGAGATTTTGCGAGCATGAGCGAGCGATTCATGTTAATCGGTAAAACCAAAAATATGTTTATTATTACTAAAGAAGATATTGATCGAATAAATTGTTTTTCTTATAAACATCTTATATCATTTTTATAGCAATTTCATATCCTCAAACATTTATCCTCCACATTACTATCATATCCAGTATATATATTTTGCCTACTGTATAATCTGTAATGCATTTTAATAATTACAGCAAAGTAATTACGCAACCTACATTTTTAACATTTCAAGGCTCAATATAACTGCCGCTTAAATTTTCTCTAAATATCTTATTTTTTAAACATTTATTTTTCCATTAAATATTATTTGTTTGAACATTATTTATTAAAATGTTCGTGTTACTTCGCAAATTATCTATAAATTATTATCAACTGTAGTTGTGAATTCAATTGTCGATTCACCAATATATTTCACGTGAAAGCTTGCACTTGAAAACTATGATACAATTAAAAATTCAATAGAATATTTTCTCTATTTTCCTCTCTCTCTCTCTCTCTCTTTTCTATAAAATTACATACTTTACACAAAATTTTATTTTTTCAATTGTCCCGTAAATGTGAATTGTCCGTATACGCGGTTAGTACACGTGGCCAATTTGCATTTTTCAAACATCACGTAACGTCGTTCTGATAACTTTACCTATTGCAAAATTTTCCTATATGTCATCTGTCCCTTGCTAATTCTCCGCCTTTGGCACGCATTTTTCCTTCGAAGTCGAAGGTCGGCTTTTGCCGCGATAAGATAATTTTGTCGTTCAAGCAATTAACGGCATAATCGTTTACGGTGGATTCCAACTGCACCTGTCCAGGAATGAATACATAAGTCTTGTGCGCAAAAATAAAAGTCATAATTTACCGTAATACACAATTGAAATATATAAGAATTTTCGAGGATAATATTTAGCAATTCGTTTTAATTATTGCGTGAACCTTGCACCGTAAACGCAATCATCTGTTTTAATGATTCAATATATTTATCAATTGCAATAAATACGTGTAGTCTAGAATTAATAATAATTGTTATATATGTTATTTTCTAATTTTATCTTACATGATTTTAAATTGTGCCCCGTGACACAAATACTTTTATTTATCCAGAAGCAGATCCAACACAATCTTTTTTCGTTCCATTAAAACTTATTTAAATTATTTATTATTAATTCTCTAAACACGTGTTAGATAGAACTATTGCATTTGTTAACAAATAATAAATATATTAGTGTCGAGAATTGAATATTTAGATTTTTTGTATTAAATACTAAATACTTAATGACACGTGATATGAAAGGACTTGTGTTAATGAGCCGATATAATCTGATTAACACATAATAGAATGTATATCGATGAATCGATCGCACAATGTTGTCGTATTATCGCATTGATTTCATCGCAGGGCAAAATAAGAAAAAAAGCGTTAAGCAAGAGCTTACGTGTCGATGCAGCATGTGCGCGATGTAATTACGTTTCCTCGAAAGAAGATCGGCTCAGATGTATCGTAATTACAGTGAACTGTGCAAGCAATCAGTATTTATGATTCCACCAAACGTGTAATACAACCCCTAAAGTGTATTTCTCGCCGGATTAATGATAAATGTGCCACAGTAAAGCCGGAAATTGTGCCACTTTGCTTATGACCTTCCTGCACGTTGCCGCGCAATTGCTCATTGTATCGTGCAATTACGAACAACCGGCGTAATTACAAAGTAAGCATCCAAATTACGATAAAGCGTCGGCTGTAACAAGCGATACGCAAATTCGTGTATTATCCAAGTAATGTAATTCACAAAATATTAACGAATTTGCCTGTTAAAATCTAAAGCTTATGACGTACAAAATATTTTTATAAATATATAATTTTTCTTGCAATACATATCTTTCATAAAAAAAGTGTAAAAGAAGGAATATGTTTTTCTCGCAATAATATTGTGAAATAATATTTGCTTATTTATATTAAGCACGTAATCTCGCATAGCGTAAAATATCACTTTTTCAAATTATCCGTTACTTCTTCTGTGTAACTCTTCAAGAGAGTTAGGCGTGCGTCTTGGTCAGTAAATTGAGAAATCCAAAAAGCGAGATAAACCGCCGCGCACGGTGTCGACGGTGTGCACGGTGCGCCCGTAATTGGCCAATTTGCATTTCGCGATCCGGGGCGAAGGCGAGCCCGCGATTCGCGAGATAACGGAGGAAGAAAGAGAGAAAGAGAAAGAGAGAGCAAGATAATCGGGCCACATCGCCCGATTTCTATCGGAATGCGGCAATTTATACGATCGGCACGATAAGCCGCCATCCACGCCGCGAAAGACTCTCCGCTCGCTTCCTCGGTTCACCTGCGTAAGTCGATGCGCGGGATCTCGAGCGGAGCGTGCTCGCGCGCGTGCTGTGTGATGCGCGTGTTGCACGTGTTGCGCTCGCGTGTCAGAAAATTTTTCAACTATTGTGCAACCTCTGTAGCACTTTTGATGCTTATCGTGGTCCACCGCTTTGAGAAAATCTTTAAAAGATTTCAGTTTAAGTCTAAAAAATATTTTTTTCTGCATTATTATTATTGTGAATATTATTAATGTTATTGTGGTACTTATATATCGTATGTATATAAGAACAATAATAATTGAAATTAGAAGGAAGTAATATACCGTCATCTTCGAGATCATCCGTTGATTATCTTTAAGAGATTATCGTTTTATAGCACGGTAATTCTGTATTATCAGATAATTTGTATTATTAGCAATCTTTTAGTAATATTTAATTAGCATCTTAATGTCTTGATATTGTGTATGATTAACTGAAATGCCTCTTTCATTATTATATTACAAGTACTGTCTTCAGTAGAGAGCCTTTTAAATTCTCATCTTATTCATCTTGTGTTACTAAACGTTGAAGACATCTTCAATAATTTAAGAAACCATAAAGTTACGAATTTATGGGGCAAAATAAACGACGCGGCCTTGCTACATACGAGTGAGCTCACACGTTTAAACGGGAATTCGAGAATGAAAGCAAGGGGCACCAACCGGTTTGAACGTACCCTTAACCGAGTGAACCTTCTCGAAGTATAAATCATTTTATAACACCGGCGTACCGTTTTTATTATCTTGGAAGTAGAACAATTACAATTTTTTTTTTAATTTCGCCAAGCGAAAAGAAAAAAAAACATCGGATATTTTTCAAAGCCACGAAACGATATTGGCTGTTCAAATTTTAACACGTTGTTGGTGCTTCGTCATGCCGGCCGTGTGGACGATAAAAAAAACTAATGAATTAACAACTTAAGCAACGTTTATCTGTTTTTTAAGTCACTATTTACGCAGCGACGTGTTCAGATGATATTGATCGGAGGTAGCCCTATCTTGAGCGAAAAGGCGAAAACAAATTATCCCATTGGATACGGATAATCAATTTATTTTTTGTTTCCTGCATCTACCTCACAAAACCGTCTTCTTTCTTCGTCGGTTTCTTCCTGCGGCGAGGAACGATCGCCGATAATCTATTACCGGGCGATGGGACGGCCGCGGCGCTCAATCGGCCGCCCTTCATCCTTTTTTTTTCATCTGCATGGACTGATGGCTTCTTCCAAAGTTAGCATCTTCTCATGTCAGCACGTATATTCGCATATTCCCCATTTCAACAGTATAATAATGTACTATCCACTATTGTATTAAAATGTAGATTTTCTGATTTGAAAAAAATATATATATTATATTAGAATTTGCAATTAAATACTGAATGTCTAGATGTGAAAAGACATGAGAGAGACAACTCGACTTTTAGGAAATAAATCTACTTTTAAAAAATTTAATTAGATATTTTTTAGGGAGATATCAATAGGTATTTGATAATGTACGCATTTCATTTTTGTCTACCAACTGCGTGAAAGCTCAATTTTTAGCAGGTAGCTATCTCATCTTTGCACACTATTATCCGACTTTCTTCGTTTTCCGTTTCATCGTGCAAACGTACGCCTGGGGTCGTATTAACCGCCATTAGTCTCCAATTAACTTTTCTCCTCGCATTCAATGGAGCCGCGGATCAACCGCAAATGAAAAATTTGTCGTAATCGTTTATGATCGACCGTAACTTTGTGGCGCTCTTTACGGGCTTTAAACGTTGTAATCATCGGCAATATCGAGTCGTTAGTCGATGACATGTTTGCGAGCTAAAATCGAAATTCTTCACGCGGGAATCGAACACGATTGTAAATTAATCAAAATCGAACGGGAGAAGAGGGGCGACCTCTTGCTTTCCTTCTACTGGTGTTTCAACGTCATACTTACATCAGTTTGTAAATTACCGAAACCTTTCCTGCCATCTTATACGAAAGAACATAAAAAGTCTTCATATTTTTTTTCATTGTTATGCAGAATTTTAAATACCATACGTGAAAACATCCAATCAAGTCATATGCACCGTTAGAGAATCATGTCCGGTTCATGCATTCTTTTTTTCTACCGTGCTTAAAACCATATATTTCGATATCGTCGACCGATTCCCCGCTCTGGTTTCCACATCTCTGAGTTTATTACAGCTAATTATGGATGGGCAGTAAACTCGCCCTATAACGAAGGCATTCAAAAACCCGACTTTTCCTTGGCATCGCCGCTCGAGCGCGCTTTCCGCTTGAATCATCCACACGTAGTTCTTTTTTACGTAGTCCGATTAGGCTATTTCCTGATGCATAACGAACTAGCTTTTGCGAATGACTGCCTCTTGAAAAAAGATTATTTTATTAACTAACAATTAATCAGGTATTTATTAAAGCGCTTTTAATCAATGGATTTATGTAAAATTATTGCTTCTATTTAAAGATTTATTTTTATTCTGTTTATATTGCTTTTCATCCAATTTAAATTATAATTTATATATTGTAATATTATAATAATTTACATTACATATCTGCAATAATTATTTATAAAAAAATAAATCAATGTTACATTATATACATTTTTTATAAAAAATATTTTTTCCGCTTTTATTTAAAACAAATCTCCAACCGATTTTTACTCAAATTACGAGATATTGATATTAGAGTGAAATTTAATGGCAAGAAATGATAGTGGCGATGCCTCTTTCAGT